CAGCTGCACACAATTACTCAATTAGCAGAACCAATTCTCAACAACATATTATCTCGCTGGTCCTGTTAAACCTTAGACATAAGGTCGCAACAGGGTAGCCGCCGGCCAACAACCTACCTGTTAAAATCCACCATCAGTTAGGTGTTATCATACAAAGCACACCAATCACGTAATCGTGTGATCACGTACAATACAGTCCTACAATACAGGACTTTGTGAAGAACATATTATTATGACAGAACGGAGTATACTGGTCTGATTGAGCCCTGTCAGGCTGTCTCATTAGGTGCGGTTCGCGGTCTAAAACTTAGATTTGTTAACAGTTTTCTAGTTTCTTGTTGTTGATGTGTTTGTAGCTAGTGCACAGTTGTAAAAGTTTCACGGATTACAGTTAAGTTCATGCTGCTGTTGCCACCGAACGCTGTTGCCGATTGATCATTTTTGTCAGATGCTGCGCTGCCGATATGAAATTCCCACGGTGGATACAACACTGATTTTTTATTGAGCTTCGCGTTTTCAGTTACAAAATCTGTCTTATTGTTTGGGTTTTATTTGTTCGGTGTTATACTTAAGTTTGAGGTACCATCTATTCGATGTAGTACTTTAGTTTAGGATTCAAGATTGTCATTGGGTTATTGCTGTACGCAAGTTTCCGTCACTATCTATACATTTTTACACTTTAGTCGCCTTTATTATTTATCGCCCTTTATTATTTATCGTTATTCTCTAGCGTCCGTTATTACTTTACTCAACCATTCCCGTCAACTATACCAGGAGCACTATTCGCAGAATGTCGACATCTACATTCTCATAGCACTCTGTTATATTTCTAGCTGTCCTGCAGAAAACGTGCAGGAATAAGTAGATTGTTTGACTGCTGTAGTGTCCTGGCAGCAAGTCGTTGCCATGACAACACGTCGCACACATTAACGTTAATATCTCCGTATCTAATAGACTTCAATTCTGTAGCCATGAACTTTGCTTGTAAGTCTTCAGCAGCTGCAGTACAGCTGTATCTAGATCAGATAAATTCCGTGACCTGTTCATGGCTTGTCCGTCTTCGATAACTGAGCAATTTTGCACCTGCACTTCTACATTGCCTGGTATTGGCACGCGTGAATGTTCATTGATAGTATGTTTTTATTACCTTATCGGACATAATTGTCACGTACAAGTTTTTCACGGACCAAATTTTTCACGGACACAATTATTCACGCTCATGACCGCCCAAAAATTTCCAAAAGATTGTGAAAATTTTTGGTGATTTTTAATAAGTTTTTTTTTTTTTTTTAAACTCTAGAATCAAATGATTGTGACTGAGGAGAGATTATATTTGAGATTTGTCCTAGAATACTAATTAAAGCTAATATAGTTATCGGCTACACACATATCTACGCATATGTAAGGACACACACACTAAAATGAATGAAAACAATTACCGGACTTTTCACGGACCTTAATGCCACAGACATTTTCACGGACATACTTATTCACGTTAAGGTCTTCAACGTGAAAGTAATGTCCGTGATAATTATGTCCGTTAAGGTACATGTCTCGAAGTTATGTTCTAAACGATATTTTTAATTTCAATTCATATTTATGGGTTTTTTATACGCTGCAAATTACATACATTTTTCATGGTTCGTCCAAATGAGCGCCTGCTGTTTGTAATTTAAATGAAAGTTAGGGTCTCAATGGTACTCAGTTATCACTGACACGGCTATAACTACTTTAACTAATAGCATTACTAGATATCACTGATTAAACCCTGACAAAATAACTCAAGTTTTTAAAATCTACCCACGGTACGTGCATTATAATGGGTGTTTTTTTGCATAGCTGTAGCCTCAAGCCTGAGGCTGTAGTAGGTATGCAGTATGCACGGTAATTTATCACAGCAGCAGCTCTATCTGAAGTATGTGAGAGGTCTAATTTGATAACGACAGTCACCACTTAAGGAAATTCCTCTTGGTCTCGGCAGGCTGTTAGCTTGACAATTTTGTTTCGGGCTGATTGGGGTTTCGATTGAGCGGGTTCATACTTTTGCACCTTTTTAACTTCGACAATGGAATCCCGTCAGTACATACTAGTAGACCAGCTTCACTAGTATTATAATAGGGTAAAACGATAGAATTAATTTGTTATTGTATATTGTAAAAGAGTAATATAAATATTATAAAAGGATAATCTATGTAAATATGGTATTTAAAATATGTTATGATATATTTAATTATATTCAATGAGTATATAATTTTTAATCTGATATTATAAAAATCTTTTTCATAACGGACTTTTATATAATTATAACGGACTCATGAATTCAAAAACTACACTGCCTGGGGATCATGTCGTCTCTTTTATCGGCGTTGGTGTTGTTTATACCGTACAGCATTTCGTATTTTAAACATTTCTTTTTAGTTGAGCTTAAATATGAAAATATACAATCCGAAAACCGACAAACATTTAAAACACCCTTTGGATCATGGCATAATATTATGGCATAAATTTCTATGCAGAAAATTAAAAAACCTTTGACCGGTAAATCGCCTTTTTTTTGCCATGAATTTTGGTCACCGAATTACATATGTGACACCTAAATTGGCCATCCTAACAGTAACATCAAACATCAAACATGTTTATTTACGCATACCAGACTACGAAAGTCAAACCAAGCTACTAGAGGCTCATACCAAGCTACTTATCTGCTACTATAATAATAGTAGCATGATCCGGTAGACTTTGGCATGATGCTGAATTGAGGTAAAATTGTTAGTCATTCTAGTTTGGTCATATAACTTCAAAGGTATCTGTTATTTAGAAATATTTTTACAGTATCGTAATTAGCTTGGCGAGACAAAACGTTCGGTAACGAATTTATGAAATATGATGAATTTTTATTAAATTTATACAAAAAGGGACCTTCGTGTTCAAATTAAAAAAATTGTTTAAGGTCGAATTAATACGATAAAAGGGCAAACTTTTCCATGTTTGTTCAAAATGAAATGTATTTCCTATATCAATATTGAATTCAATTTATATCGTTCTTTAAGGCTGGAAGTTTGCTTTCTTGAATTTGAAGACAAGGAATGTCGTACACCGCTACGTCGTGGTTTTAATATTGACACCATGGGTTTGCACCACGATGTTAATCGGTCTGAAATGGGACCGCACAGTCTTGTCCAACTCCCAATTTGAGTTAAGATGAAGTATATCTAACAATTCTCAGCTATGAACGCTAAAGCTCACATCCAGAGTCTTACCCATTGTTGTAGGGACTACGGCGTGGAAGATGAATAATTGAAATTCCAACAGCATCTTGTTCCCTTCATTGTGCTGATTCCGGGAAGCATTCTGTTTACGCTCTCATCATTCTGTAGAATGAGATATCGTTCATTTAAAATTGGTTAATTATAGGCCTGTCAAGGATTGCAGCCCAATTATAAGAGCTGATCAATTGCAGCTCCTTGTGCCATATAACTTTGTTGTCTAGAGAAATTACAATATGAGACCTTTGATGGGTAGCCTGTATTTGAACAATTTACCCTCTGCGGCTAGTGCTTACAATTAGGGCTTTTCAAAATGTGGCTGCTAGAAATTGTTTACAATCTAAATGTTGGATTTAAGTGATTAATAGGTATACCTATAGTTGTGTTTTATTTTTGTCTGTTTAACTTTAATTTAAAGTAAAAGCAATTATACAAAGTCTATTTTTAATCTGAAATACGATCTTCTATTGTGAACTGATTTCTCTTTGTCATTAAATTAGTGGCTGAGTTGTTGTTTAGTTCGCGCAGTACTTTGTTTTGACTTTAAAATCGTGTTTAATTGTACGCAACATCGTCAATATTTCGGCCTTTCGCCCTATTATCACATAAATTAAGTATATCCAATGACTCAAAATTCTCTAAAAGCGGCTAAGATAAAACTCGTAAGTGTCAAATTTAAAGAATTTACCCTACAATACTCACAGCTTGCACTGATCACAATCGTGGCCGCCGCTCACAGTTTGGCTGGTCCGACAAAGAACTGAAAAGGTAGACTAGTTCATTACATTGTGTCTTCCAGTACTGAAATAAAGGGTGTCTGCTCCAATAGGGAAATCGTATAAATAACTGGAATTTTAAAAGTCAATATTTTTGTTTTAACAAGATTGATTTTTTTCTCTGGGAGGGTCTTGGTTAAAAGTTGATTGGATATCTCAACCTTACCATAATAGTCATCCACTAAAAAATCCGCCATCGCCAATAAAACCGGATCAGCTCCACCTACGACCACTCATTCGTAGTGAGAGCTGGAAGACTCTGGAATATTCTCCACAAAATTGTCAATACTCAAAAGACTTTGGCAAGCTTCAAGACATCTTTTGGAAGCTTCCTAGACACCCTTCCAGACAAGCCCCCTACTCCTGAATACAGTGCAGAAAACTCTAACTCAATAATCGATTGAAATCCGGAATTGAATACCTTGCTGCTATTTCATGATATGTAGCAACTACAACTACTAAGTTCTAACTATTTTTCCTGTTAAAACTCCAATAAAAGTTGGAGTGAACGCCCGAATTAGTTTCGCTTCACTACACAAATTAAACATAAAACGACTTCGAGTTGCTTAAGTTTTAACAATTTATCACCCAAAAAAGGATCGACGCATTCTTAAAATCCAAACTATTCTAAGTACCAAAGTACTGCAATTGTTCCAACCTGAGCTTTAACCTTAGAAACTTTTGTTTCGCTCGCGCTTGTGTTTAACAGCCGCTATATAACAGTTACGACAATATTCAACTGCAATCTGAATCACTAGACGATATATATGGGTTCATGTGCTTACAAGTTTACACGTTTGTTAGACATGTCCCGCGGTTAGTATATAGCAGAATTGCAACTCAGAAGGTTAGAGCTACAGCTGTATAATTGCCTTCTAAGACAGTGTCAGTGTCAGTTTTGTTGTTAAATACTAGGCGGGTAGTGTAGCTTTTTTGCCGTAACTACAATCTTAAATTTGAAGTTTTCGTGGATACCTCTCCTGAGCCGTATTCGTTTGGCGTTTACTTGGGTCGGTGAATAAAAAGAGCAATGAAACAGCTTCTGGACATGTCATACTTTCATCATGATAAGGTAAGAGTATCATATTTATAAGCATTTCGATACATATTAGTTAGTGTTGTTTGTAAGTTTATTACATTGCCCTCACACACATAGTCAATAGCAATTGTTGTGTCTAAATCGTTTCTGCGTACAATGTATGAACTAATTGCAGCCGTGCGGTGACTCACCGTGCGATTTTTCATGTTACGATTTCAGGTCAATTTATTTCTCGATTAAAACAGCTAATTGAATAACTAGCTCTTCCTTGTCCGTTATAATGAGGGATTTATGATTGTTATAACGGATTTAAATAATAGTATTATATTAAATTTAAATAATAGTTTAACAATTACTATACGCCAACTTCAAGGCACCCAATAGTTTCAGATGATTTTAATCAACTACTTATCGTAATTCCATTCATGCTCGCAGTGGCCGAAGGATTATAATTGCTTCAGACACTACCATCTCATACTATAGAATGTGCAATGTCTCGCCAATAAAGCGGTTAATATCTGCCCGTAACCTCTGTTAGAGCAGTTAATTGATTTCCTGGATCAGTAAACAATATGTGCAGCTCTCTGTGGTCATTTAAACTTTTATCTCTGTTTCACGAAAAGTCAGGTTTTTATACTACCTTATCAGACTTCATTTGAACGGATATTAATTGGACGCTATAAGAGGCCCTAAAGCGTTCATTTTAATGTCCGTTCAAATATAGTCCGAATAGGTAGTTAAAGTAAATACATTAAATGAATGCCTTCGAGCGTTTATTTATGTCCGTTCACGCATTGTCCGGTCAAATAACGTCCGATAAGGTATATACACTATACCCTATACAATAATATTCTTGATACACTAGATTACAGTATAACTCATGATCACCATTCACCCTGATAGTTAGACTCGTATATGTGTATTCTATATGGTGTGTCATTAATTTGGTGACGACCGAAAAGGTTTAATCAAATAAAGAGAATAGATCGCTCATCTATTACTATTACTTTTTTGTTCTCTTGTCCGAGGACTGCATTTGGTGTCTGATAGTAAGAATGTCCATATACTAATCCATGATAAGGGAACACGTACCGGTACAATTTATTAAGCACATTGTTTTATGATTAACACATGTGGACGGGGTTTTGTTTTGACGTTTGATGTTTCAAGGCTTTTGATTTTATTGATCGTTGCCTTCATTCAAACAAATTAGCTCTGGTGTGCCGGGCATTTAGTTTTCGTTCTATCAAGATCAGGTCTTGAGAATATATTAATTCATAATCTGATAACAACGAGCTGTAGACGTCAAGAATCATGATACGGACTAGGCTTTTTGAGACAGTCTGGGAACGATTTTAGAATCTTTTCAAGATATAATCGCTTTTCATTGCTATTTTATAGTTTAAATATGTTGCCAAGAAATCACAGCGAATTTTTGAGAATTACAAAAATTATAAACTTGCCTAATAACCTAAAGTAAAGTAGAAACAACTATTTAGATAACTAATGAAGTCAATAAATATAACTAATGAAATGTCAGTAGGAAGCTTCACTAGAGATACAAGCATATGCACATAATCTTAATTAATAATTAAATATGCATCTCATTTAATTATTTTATCATATTAATTATGCACTGCAGACTATTTCAATTACTGTAACTGTGAGTAACTTGTCTACCCACAGGATAGACTGTTAATAGGAACTTTGTTGCTGATTTCTGTATTAACAGAGTAACAGATAATTAGGGCTGCCCGCATATTGCAAGTGAATCAATTAAAATAATTTTCACTTCCATAATAGATCCGCTTTTGATGAATTAGCATAGAATTAAGAATAAGGCTGGGCTGTTGCAGACCTGATATCGCTTTTGCAGGGCATTCAACTTGTTGATTAACGGGTGATACTCGTAAAATATTTGTTCTATATATTATTATTGTTCCATATATTCCAGGACCGTCGACGAGTCCAACTCGGCGCGCGTCTTGGTAGGTTATAAACCTACAACTTGTTGAGTGTTCTTTAATTTGGCTTTTGTCATTGTATGATCGCATCAGCATTCGGCCCTACAATATTAGTATCCGATTTATATTCTTGATTAATAAAGATAAAATGATAATAGTTATAGATGGACTAGGTCTCAGATAATTAACAGTAAACAGTAATACTGTGTCATTACAACGCAGATTATAGTGATAGTTCCATAAAAGCAGCAGGTGTAATGCTGTTATACTTATATGCCAAGCACACTAAAACGAAACTGACCATAAATTATACCAGACGTTTATGTTAACTATGTTAGACTGTCTTAACAAGAAGAAATAAGTCTCGACAGAATGCTTATATCTAGATTCTAGAATCCATTCAAATGCTTGGAATACTTTATGCACTACTATGTATATGCATAACAAGGATAATCGAAGGAGCTTCCGAAAATATCACATAATGTTTTGAGGGTTAATCAGGTAATCTGTTGACCATATCAAGATCCAAGTATATCAAGTTAAAACACAGTGCTGGCAAGCATGAGCACAACCGTGAAAATTTATACCCCCTTTACTCAGTTTTAAATTTGTTTCGTTAATATTGCTCTGATATTTAGTTCAGCAGGTTTATTTTTGGTTCGAAATATTCTAATTCAATGTTAAACTGTTAAAGGTGGTAGACGTAGGAATGCAAATAGCCATGTTAAGATTTTTATAAAATTTACGCTAATTACTCGCCAGCACTGTTATACAGTTCTACGAAATTCGGCAAAAAAAACCCGAAATCGTCTTATTCAAGTTTTAAGTGTCTAAAAAACAGTGGTTTTGAATTAGAGAACTGAAATTTTGCAGGGTTTCTAGAACTTGTCCAAATCAAGTTTCAGGAGTAATTAGGGGGCAAACTGGAGCCCCTGTTTTCAGACAGATTGTTGTGAAGTACAGGGTGACATATTGGTACACTTTTAAACATCTATAATCTATATAATATGAGCAGACAACTGTATTTTGCTTTGCACAGCAGTTACAATTTTGTTAATGTTACAACTAGTCTAGACATCAAAACTGTGAAGCGAGCGATTATTTTACATTTGGGACCGGTCATTTAATTTGATATCATTTCTTTTCCTTATGTTTGTACTTTTGTAGGAAGGAGACACTAGCCACTGGCCACTGGCCAGTGGCCATGGTCCATTCTACCTAATTTTGGGTTTTGTATCATAGAAATTTGCTGAGAGAAATCAACCTTTAGGTTTTGTCATAATCTTTTGGCATGTTCGCTTAGTTAACATCAAAGCCAAGGAATACATTGCGTAATGTTCAAAAATTACCAATTTCCACCTCTAGTACCAATATAACCTAACAGTACTAATTCAACCTAATTTAAATTCAATCTATTCGTAGTAGTAGTTGACAGTGATAGAGTGACAGTGGCTGTTATAGAGTGACAGTGGAGGTTTCAATTGAACTATAGGACTATAAACTATACACCATATGGCATCTGCCATGTATTCAAGTATTCATATTTTCAAATTATTTGTTATAACATAATAACAGGCGTGTTGAAAGTATTAATTATTGCTGTTGTATATATAATATATTATATATATAATATATATATAATATATTATTGCTGTTTGTCAGACGTTTCCCCCTTTTGCGCAGTTATTCATCACACACGTCTCTGCAAGCCTACTTATATATACCTACTATCGTTTATGAATACTTACAACACTATGATAAAAGCTTACCCGAAAATCTCTAAGTTTATTAACATCAAGTAAGACATCATCACCATGAGCAGAAACAACTGCTCATAACCAGCATTCCTCCCTAGTTGCTATGGTTATAAAGTTATTGCTACCCAAACGTAACGGTCACATGACCGAACATAATTCATTTTTTTCAAACTGTAGAGATGATATAGTAATTTAACCTGACAAGGTGTAAATGAGAGCACTTACAATTTTTACTGATATGAATTAATGCTAACTTCTACGCCTGGCAACCCCTGGGTTTTCTTGAGTCAGAGAATCATTTTTTTGTTGTTTTCTTGAGAAAAAATCCCATCCTGGTACTCGGTGTAGTGGTTAATAAGTTTTTTGAAGTTTAAGTCTTGTTAGCCAATTAGCAAGAAGCAAGTAAGCCTGGTACCTGGTGCAGTGGTTACGTTTCAAGCGGGGTGCTCTGAATAAACTAACTTTTGTAAACTTTATATTTAAACCTGTTTCTCAAATTATTAACTGAGTACAGACAGATCCGTCTGAAAAAATCTATTTGCCGACACACGAAGCTTTCAGAGGATTTTTGACGTTTTTGAGTCCCATTAGGTGCCCTTTATAGCTGATCAGTAAATTTTACTTTTCTTTAATTTAATTTGTTTTGTTGAAGGTATAATTCGTCAAATAACACGTTTTGCGTCCAAGAAGAAGGTTTAAATCCATTAATTGACCTTGTCAATTTGTGCCATTTTAATATTACATTTAAGAGTTCACGCTGGCAGTTAGCCAGTCTATTTCTGGCAATTAGCCAGTCTTTTTTATTTACCCAACATCATTAGCCATGCTATTCAGGTGTAACTCAGAGTATCCACTATTCTCATTAAAACTTAATTAAGTGATAAATGGAACTGTCTCACGTTTGGAAGCGTAGAGTTATGATTTATGAAACGTTGTGTTTGGGAAACTGTAGGGCAATTATCCGTTTTCCATAATGTTGGGCGCCTTCTGCGTCCTTAGGCTTAATAACTTCAAAGTGGTCGTACTGCAACGATAAAACGGCATTAATTTCTATAGAAAAGGAAACACTTTTCAGTAAATAGACACTAACGCCATTTTATGTTGCAACTTGTTTTTATGAATCTATAAAGCGGTTTCCTCAGCAATAGGCATATTATAGTTGTTGATATTTTTTAGTTGATATTTCTTCCAGATTTACTTTTATTTTATTTTACACAGTGGAGTGTATTTCCATTTTGGTTTGATGGTTCTGGATGATATATAAAAATATAAGGATCCCAATCGTCATAGACTTCCGTATTGTTCCTGCTATTTATATTCCCCCAATAACAGCAGTTAATACCTAAAAGTATATGATTTATGGAACCTTAGATAAAGCTATAATCAACTTATTATAAGCCTGTAATTAACCTACAATTAAGTTTTAATTATAATTATTTAATCATAATTAAGATCTAACCAGCTCATTCTCAGGCAATGGCGGTGAATGTGATTCAGTCGATAGTGTTGCTAGTTATTAACATAGTGTTTATACTACTGGGAGGATATGCATTCAGCGTTTTGGAGTCAAGAGAAGACAAAAACGTAATTATAATATACAAATTAAATATAAATACTGAGCAGCTGATGCGACCATGTTGTATCTCCAATTTTTTAATTTACAAACACTCAATCAACACTTGGTGATGGTCTAGTCAGTGACATCCATAAACTGTTTTTTTGCTGACGTTGATGGATTTGAAACTGATACTACGAATTGAATATTTTACTGAGGACTATACCTCATGCTATACTTAGCTCCCAGATTTATACCCAAGTGTTTTCAATATCAACGGTATTTTATGTTTTACTTGCAGTAAAAAACAACCATTCTAGACTTATAACACGCTGAATTGCAGATTGAGAGGTATATGAATATATCAGAAGAAGTGTTAAGAGCGGTTGACAGCATGACAGATGCTGACATTGGACCGTGAGTGTTTTTAAATCATAAATAATGAAATGTAATTAGTGAACAAATATAATTAGTGAAATATAATTAATGAAATATAATTAGTGAACGAATATAATAAAGTAAATCGAAATCAGTTCCAAATTAATAAAATACATATTTTAATCAACGCGCTTTCAGAGCGGATGTTGAGAATATAACAATCTGGCAGAACGCAACTTATTTTCAAGATATGATCGACATTGGGTGTGCTCACGATAAGACAGTCCCCTGGACTTACGGGCAGTCCTTCTACTATTCTCTTTCTGTCATCACCACCGTTGGTAAGTACCGTTATTAGTTGGTAAGTTCTAGGTTTATAACTTTAGTTTAGTGGATATTTGGTAAGTTCTGGGTTTATAACTTTAGTAGTGTGGATACTTGGTTAGTTCTGGGTTTATAACTTTAGTAGTGTGGATACTTGGTTAGTTTTGGGTTTATAACTTTAGTAGTGTGAATACTTGGTTAGTTCTGGCATTATAACTTTAGTAGTGTGGATACTTGGTTAGTTCTGGCATTATAACTTTAGTAGGAATTAAACGGAATTAAACGGAATTAAACGGAATTAAACGTAAAGTTGTCGGAGATGGCACTAACACCATCGTCTCGACTATACATGAATGAATAACATATCTAGAGTAAGTAAAATTCGAGATTCAAGAATCATGAGAATTTAAAACAAAATCACTTAAAATTTAACTCCCGTACAAACAACCGAAATAGAAATAATTGCTGAAATAATAATTTAACAATAGAGGAAGTAGTAAAAGGCAACTTCAATGGTCACTAAACTGCGATATTAGTATTCGAGTCCACAAAAGACACATTCATACTCAAACAGTCCTCCCACTCACAGTCACAACGTACTGGAAACAGTAATCACTAGTGTTCCATGCTCGTACAACAGATCGTGAAATCTGCATAATGATGGTTGATCTGTATTATGTCTGTTGAGTTGGTAGTCCTGATGGGGTGACAGGCAGTATTGTGTGGATACTTGGTTAGTTCTGGCATTATAACTTTAGTAGTGTGGATACTTGGTTAGTTCTGGGTTTATAACTTTAGTAGTGTGGATACTTGGTTAGTTCTGGCATTATAACTTTAGTAGTGTGGATACTTGGTTAGTTCTGGCATTATAACTTTAGTAGTGTGGATACTTGGTTAGTTCTGACATTATAACTTTAGTAGTGTGGATACTTGGTTAGTTCTGGGTTTATAACTTTAGTAGTGTGGATACTTGGTTAGTTCTGGGTTTATAACTTTAGGAGTGTGGATACTTGGTTAGTTCTGGGTTTATAACTTTAGTAGTGTGGATACTTGGTTAGTTCTGGGTTTATAACTTTAGTAGTGTGGATACTTGGTTAGTTCTGGCATTATAACTTTAGTAGTGTGGATACTTGGTTAGTTCTGGCATTATAACTTTAGTAGTGTGGATACTTGGTTAGTTCTGGGTTTATAACTTTAGTAGTGTGGATACTTGGTTAGTTCTGGGTTTATAACTTTAGTAGTGTGGATACTTGGTTAGTTCTGGGTTTATAACTTTAGTAGTGTGGATACTTGGTTAGTTCTGGGTTTATAACTTTAGTAGTGTGGATACTTGGTTAGTTCTGGGTTTATAACTTTAGTAGTGTGGATACTTGGTTAGTTCTGGGTTTATAACTTTAGTAGTGTGGATACTTGGTTAGTTCTGGGTTTATAACTTTAGTAGTGTGGATACTTGGTTAGTTCTGGGTTTATAACTTTAGTAGTGTGGATACTTGGTAAGTTCTGGGTTTATAACTTTGACTCAGTTAATGCTTGGTTAACTATGTAGTTTATCCGTAGTACAGCTTTATCTATGGCCTCGAAGCCTTTAGAACCGGGTTTGCCATACCAGAGACTATAAATATTTTCGATATACGACAGTTCATTTAAGTAGGAATTTTTGTCAATTTGCAATTAGAAATAGTGATTTTGCGCACACCTAAAAGTTTAATCCGAAATATTGACACTCAAGTAGGTGAAGACAGGTCTACCCTACGAGTAATGTGAATATTTTGATAACACTATTTTGTTGTAAAATTTACTGAGAATTTGATCTTATTTCCCCAACCCCGACCCTTGCTACGGTTAGGTAAGAATAGGATATAACTACCTTATTGTAGTTTTATTCTTCCAGGTAAAATCAGAGCTAACATTCATCCCAGCTCATCATACTCCTGTATTTTTATTGTAATACTGTGGGCGTTCCTCCAATCGGCGCGGCGGCATCCGGCGGCGACGTGCATCCCTGGGGCGTTTATTCACACTTTAAAACTGCGCATCTTTCCGTCCGTATTACCTTAAGTCTATACGGTGACTTGTGGAGTGATAACAATATATACCGTTGATAAAGTAAGCCAAGTTTACGTAACTGGTTTTTTTTTCTCAACCCGACAAATATCTTTATGCTTCGAGAAACAACTTTGGTTTAAACAACTTTTTAAGCTCCGCAGTGAGGTCGCAGCTCTGTATTGTGATATAAGAACTGTCAACAGAACTAGAACTTGCATTAAATGGCTTCCAATGGCACGCGGCTAGCTCTTGTGCGTACGATCACGACCAATAAAAATAATAAAACCGATCAAGAATTGAGATAAGAATTGAACCATTAATTAACTCGTCCCTTTGTATTCCAAATTACAGGAACTGCGCAAAGACTTGTACCTGTAAATATACACTATCATTTCTAGTTCTCTGAAATTGCTAAGCAAGGGTTTGGTGCCTTGTTCCAGCTGCGTCACGAAAACAGTTAGCCAACTGTTGACAGTTTCTTCTAGCTAATTGTCGCTCTATTTGACCTCAGCACACAGTACTTTGACACTTTATATATATATTTCTTGTTGTTGAGCTGTGCTATTTCCGGTAGAAAAATGGAGATCAAAGCGAGGGCTTCCTCTCCAAACCCCTGGTTATTATAACAGACTGCATGTGATATGGGACTTGAAGTACGCGAGAAATTTTTAAAAAACCAATCTTCAACTTTTACTAAGTTCTTTCACTGTGTTTCACTTTCACTATTTTCACTGCATGTGCCTAAAATTTGTTATTCACTTTCACTTTCACTTCCAGGTCAGGTTGTAATGTAAATATGTAATGTATAAGTATTCATAATGTATTATGCTTAACTTTCATCTTTACCTCTCAGGTTGGGGAGTAATGACGCCCAGTTCCTACACAAGCAAGGCTGTAACATGCCTGTACGCTCTTGTGGGCATACCCATTTACGCCATGTTCATTGCGCAAATCAAAAACAAATGTGGTACCATCTTCAGAAAAACAGTGAGTTACTCATGAAAACCGTTTAGTTTTTAGACTTTAGTAATTGAAAATTCGATTAATGCAGTACGCAAAACAAATTATTTCTATTAAGCTAGATTTATTACGCTTTGTTAATTGTTATGCGGGTATGCCTTCATGATCTCACCAGTCACCACTTTTAGCAAGTGCTAAACTGACAAACACTAATCTATGGTCTAACAATAAAACCCTCACAATTTATCATATTTTTCTTAAAAGCGCACCTATAACTTTATAAGGAATATGTTATCACTCCAATTTCTATCCAACGCAAACATAATCTTTTTGCTAAGATTATGTTTGCGTTTCATTGCTCAACAGCTGTTCGAAGGATAAAATTTAAGACTTCAATATCATCGATGTTTTGTGTTTCACTTTCACTTTCACAGGTCAGAGTGTCACGAGATCTGAGCTGGTACTGGATACCGCTCTGTGTTGGAATATTGGGTACCATCTTCATGAACATTACGATCAATGTGGCAGTTGATTGGGTCAGGTTGAAGACCAAGCAGCTGATAAACAACGATTGTAAACTCATACCTCCTTACTTTCACTGGCAGGTAAATTAAACTCCGCCAGGTTCGGATAAGTTTCACTGAATCTGAGATTGAGAGTATATACACAGATTTGACGCCATTGAGGATAAAACAATATAGATACAGTTGATATCAGTCAAATGATAGAATTAAAACATATGATAAAATTAAAGTTGAAACTCACAATTCAAATAACAGTATCACATTACTGCAGTAACACTGTAATCAGTAATTAGTAATTACTGATTACTGTTATAGTAACACTGTAATCAGTAATTAGTAATTAGTAATTACTGTAGTAACACTGTAATCAGTAATTAGTAATTACTGATTACTGTAGTAACACTGTAATCAGTAATTAGTAATTAGTAATTACTGTAGTAACACTGTAATCAGTAATTAGTAATTACTGATTACTGTAGTAACACTGTAATCAGTAATTAGTAATTAGTAATTACTGTAGTAACACTGTAATCAGTAATTAGTAATTACTGATTACTGTAGTAACACTGTAATCAGTAATTAGTAATTAGTAATTACTGTAGTAACACTGTAATCAGTAATTAGTAATTAGTAATTACTGCAGTAACACTGTAATCAGTAATTAGTAATTAGTAATTACTGTAGTAACACTGTAATTAGTAATTAGTAATCAGTAATTAGTAATTAGTAATTAGTAATTAGTAATTAGTAATCAGTAATTAGTAATAAGTAATTAGTAATTAGTAATTAGTAATTAGTAATTACTGTAGTAACACTGTAATCAGTAATTAGTAATTAGTAATTACTGTAGTAACACTGTAATTAGTAATTAGTAATTAGTAATTAGTAATTATTAATCAGTAATTAGTAACTAGTAATTAGTAATTAGTAATTAGTAATTAGTAATTAGTAATCAGTAATTAGTAATTAGTAATTACTGTAGTAACACTGTAATCGTTACCTGCAGGAGAATGTGACACTATGGGAAGGTATCTATTTCCAGTTCATCACCGTCAGTACCATCGGTTTTGGTGACAGCTATCATAGGTTTTTAATTAATACATTTTTTATGTTATAAGTTACCCCTTGGGCATGCATAAGTTTTCTATACATCTGCTTTATCTTTAAGAGTTTAAGAAAGCTTATATTTCAGACTATTTCCATGTGCATGGTTTGTTGTGACGTAATCTTGTATTGTGTATTGAATTTCACTTTCACTTTCACTTTCACTTTCACTTTCACTTTCACTTTCACTACAATGTTAAAATTACTGACTACTTTCGCTTTCAGTTTGTTGGAGTGTAAAGATAACAGTGCGGACAGTGTAATGTCTGCTGTTGTGGGTTTCATCTTCTTCACACTTCTGCTAGGTATGGTAGTGGAATATTATAGTAGACAGTAAGAATAATTATATGAGTAAAAAGTTTATAAAATCAAAAATTATATGTTAAGTTATAGAACTCCTGATCCAATAAGGCTGGCAACAAAGCATGTTATACAATTAAGCCCTTTTCTAAACACACTGTGCTGAAAAGGACTATTAATCACCGAATTTTTCAGGTATGTTGGCGCATTTGTTTGACGTAATCGCCGACAAAAGTCAAACCGGAGTCTCATCGCTGTCTTCCAAATTAAACAAAAGACTGGGAGGTGCAAATAGAGACAAATACGGGAACAGAACCTATGGAAGAATTTAGAAAATAGCCCGCAATATTCCAACAAATCCTTGTTTTTTTAATTTAAGGACAGAGAAAGAAACTAAATGTTCCCGCTACTATACTTATATAAAGGGTGAGTAAGACAACAATGTGACAGTATATCTGATAATTATATTATGATGTCAGTTGTTAATGAGTACTGATGAGAGAACGTTTAAAAAAATGATAAACATCAAAATTAGTAGATTTGTTAAGAGGTTACTATAATTGTAAAACGCACGTTCGGTAATGTAATGGTAAGCAATAACAGAGAAAAATAATAAAATGCAACTCCTTTTTAAGAAGTGGAGCTCAAATTGATAATATTGAAAAAATAATGATGAAGATTAATGAAATGTGATGTGAGTGTTCTTTATTTATATTGATTTGAATTTTGTGTTGTTAATTTCTTAGTTTCCTAACATGATATCACGATATCAATTTGTGATTGCATCGTTTTATTATAGATTTATTGAATAATTTTAACGTTTTAAGTATTGACATGATACAATTGGAAAATTAAGCTACTGAATTTGAGGAGAGTTGACGAATTGGAAATCAAGGTTGATGATGAACTGGATGAAGCAGAAATTATGGGAACGCTGTAATGTACTAGAATCTGGTACCATCGAATATATATTTTTCTTAAGATGTATAAAAAGTCTCCATAATAGTTCGCCTAGATAATTTTCATAGCATTCCCAATTCCAAGATTATCATAAAGGGAGAATAATATACTGAGAACACATTTCCCCGATTTAATACAGCATCTTTGTAAAGTTTTTGGCGAACATTCCATCATTGTAAAAAACTTATCCATTTTCATATTGTAGAAATGAGATTTTCTCTCTCAACATGTCAAATGTTAGAATTTCCACTTTATCGGCCTAACTGGACTAAAATTAAAAATGACATTTTTTGAAATAACTCAATCTTTAAGATTCTTGACTGGTCACGTAGCATGCAACATGAAGCTTCACGAGCAGAAGTTCGAGCTGTTAAATCACCTCCATAACAGTAAGAGCTCATTCCTCGAACTACCATTCTTTACCGAAACACTGCGTTTCAAAGTATCCAGTCAGGACATATTTTACCCTGTCGAAAACGTCCGAGATCTTGGAGTTATGGTTTCAAGTGATTAGTGATCTCAGCTGGTCGACACACATCGGCAACATGGTATCCAAAGCAAGGAGCACGTTATCTTGGGTATTCAGTGTCTTCAAAACTCGTGACAAGACCGTAATGACTACTCTCTACAAGTCACTAGTAAGAAGCCTACTGGAGTATTGCTGCCCACTCTGGAGCCCTACCAAGGTGACTGAAATACAGCTGATAGAGGGGGTGCAAAGAACTTTCACCAGTCGTATTGGCGGTCTTCAACATCTCAACTATTGGGAAAGACTCGTACAGCTTAAATTGATGTCTCTACAGTGCAGACGGGAGAGGTATATCATCCTGATGATGTGAAGGATTCTCCATAATGTGGTACCAAACTGCTGTGATATCAAGTTCAAGGTGACCCCAAGACAGGGGGATGTAGCTGTCAACTCATACCCTCATTGTCAAAGTCAAGTTCCTAAAGCAACCAGTCACTGTACGACAGGTGTTTTGCAATTCAAGGACCAAAGCTGTGGAACAAAGTGCCTTACTCAAACAATAAAGGCTGATTTATCCTTGGACATGTTTAAGTTTAGTTTGTCGAACTTTCTTGCTTTGATACCGGACAACTCTCCGGTCGCCGGCTACAGCTGCAGTTGGTCAAACTCACTGGTTGACTACTCGCCATCCAGGTGGTCAGATATCTGATGACCCTTCCGGCTCCACGGATGACCTCAACGAAGTAACGAAGTAAGTAAAGTTAAAAAACTATACTTGAAATAACTTTAAAAGCTCAAAAACTGCTTCGTTAATGTACTAATTTTAAGTTTTAACGGAAATGGACTAAAGTTCGAATTTCGAGTTTTTCCAGTTCACAGTTCACATGCCTTTCATTTGGCTTAGTAAATAATATTGGAGCATGCCATAGAATAGTTGTCATGAAATAGTTGTGTGTGTGTGTGTGTGTGTATATGTGCGACAGTGAAGATAATTCTGTATTTTATCGTCAAATATTCAGAAGTTTAGCCTTAGGCTTCTAGACTTTTTTAAAATAAATTTTTAAAAGAGAGGCATGGCCAAGTTAGCCCACGAGAGGATAGCATTGAGATGCTCTGCCTGGGGAAGGTTGCCGGTGAAATCAGAGTGAATGGTAGGCTTATAGATATTGAGTGGACACTGGACTCATGCGGTGGTCCAGGAAATGATTCCAGCGTTGTGTACCAGCTATATTATTGGACAGAAAAACTGATTTTTTCTAAACATGTATAAAAAGTCTCCAAAGTATCGCCAGGCATGGTTTCCAATATATTTTAAAACTATTATCGTAGTTCCTATAAAATGGTTTGCAGAGCTATTTTAAGCATTTGTTATGTTATAGATCGCTGTAAGTGTAAGTACATTATTTTGGCCTTAAGTTGTTTTAAATTGGTTGTGGCAGATGAATGTGTACGTTGTGCAGTGGGCACCAGAAAGTTTTAGAAGAATTAGCAGGAGAATGCACGAAAAGCAGGAAGCAACATTAATTTTAAAAGATCCAACAGATTTTATATCAATTTGTGGACATCAGAAGTGCTACTCTGGTGGTGTACTGCTTTATACGAAGATACAAAACAACTTTCTGGCAAATTTCATTGACTGTTATACGTATTAGAGAAAATCATACACAAAAATTGCTATGCAATAATATGATCGATTAATTATTTATTGAATACACATATGAAACATACCAAAAACATATCACACAATCACTTGACTTTCTTCCGACTTCTGAAGTCCATCAGTTCTTTATTCTTTATCACGTCGGTCTAACCGTAATGTTTGACTTTAGCGACCTCAGCGTTGTAGCTCTTGACGTAGCTGTTGTAAGATGCCACAGCCTTATTGGAAGCAGCAGCAGCAGCCTTTGCCTTCGTAAGAGCAGCGTTTGTCTTGGTAAGCTGAGTGTTCTGAGCTGCGACAGCTGCCCTGTAACTCTTCTGGACCGTGTAGACTGCTTGTCTCTGCTTCTTGTAATGAGCGTCAAGCTTGTTCTGTCTTGAAGTATGGGCCTTTTTGGCGCTTGCTAGAGCGGCGTTTTGTCTCTTGATGCACGCTGCCTTAGCGGCTTGTATTTTCTTAACATTGCTTGCGTATACCACCCTGTTGTTGTTCGCCGCTGTAGCTGCTTTGTTGGAAGCAGCTTTTGCAGTATTGAGTCGAGTAGCGTGAACTGCCACCTGTTTGTGGGCATTAACGTAGCCAGTTCTAGCTGTTAGGTACTGGGTATGGTAGGTTGTAGATGCTTTCCTTGTAGATACCACCAGCTTCTTTGAAGATACAATGAGAGACTTGTACTTTGTAACTTGCAGTCTTGCTGCGGAAACGAGATGTTTAGTATTTGCTCGTCAACTCTTTTTGAAAATAAATTGGCTTAACCAGTAAAACAGGAAACTAACAAATTTAAATGCAAGTGGAACCTACCAGTACGGAGATGAGGGTTCACTCTTATCTGTTGGCTTCTGTGATGTCTTCTTTCAGGATCTGACGAAGAAATGTCAGTAAGGTTAAGCCCAATACAAATGGCACTTTGTCAAGTGATTAAGTATTTCAAATATTCATAATATTATGTTCTTACAAAATTGTTGAGGGAACGACTTCAGCTTAAGAGTGAAAATTAAAATGCTTTATATATGACATGACTCTGACTGATTACCTCTGGAACAGTTTAATTACTTACGTGCAAGAGGATAATGGCAAAGATAATTATCGTTCCATGTATTTGGATCAGCTGTTTCAATCCACTGGATACATGTCTTTCCTGCTTTGTACTGTTGATCTTTCAGTGCACCGCTGAAGACCCAAGTGAAAGCGTATGGTGAAGTTGGTGGAATACAAAGGAAGTTGTCGTTCCATGTGTGAGGATCGGCTCCTTCCGATATTTTTACACAGTAAGAGTTTGAAACTGGGCCTGGAGGAGAGATTGGTGTCATTCAAGTGTATTTTAAGAATAAGCAATGAGAAAAACACAAATTGAAAGTTTGACATTCCAATTTCGATTCAATTTTCATGTTTATAATTGACAAATGAAATATACCGTTCATGTTGAAACGGATTCCAGGATCAGCCTTGTTTTCCCTCCAGCAGAAGAAATTGTCGTTCCAGTGGTGGTTAGCTGGCTCAGCCAACTCCCATATCCTATCACAGTGGTAACCCTTGGGTACTCCAGCGTTGCTCCACTTGAAGTCACCGGGCCATTGAGGTAAAGGAGCAGTCACTGAGAAGATTGTATTTAGTTTTATATTGTGAATTTTTTCCTTTTCACCCTTTTGAAAAAGGCAATAGTGAAAGGTTACGAATGGACGATTTTGCAGAAAAACGTGGATTTTGGAGAACGAGATAGGTGGGTTTAAATATGTCGTGTGTCCTTCCTTCCGTTCGTTACCATGCAACGAAAAAGTTGGGCGCGCGAGAGGATTGCTTGCGGAGATGTGATGTTTAGATAGCCTGTGATCTATGAATGCGCGGCGCGACTGTCTTTAATGTATATGATGCATGTAATGTATAATATTACTATTAGGTAATACGCCCAATTTGTACGTGGCACGCGTAGTGTATTGATGTGTACACGAGTATAGTTTACCTTTGCTGATAATTTCTTGAATTACAGATACAAGTTAAGTTCTACGGCAATTGAACTGAATTTCAAGTGTTTCCCGTATTTGATGCATAATTTATCAATATTATTATCATGAAGATTGAAGTGAGCTGATTGGAGCTTATACTTAAATTTATAGTAAATGTGAAATGGAAATCTAGCGTCCGCCAAAACGAAACAACGGGCGCAATTCTTGTTATTGTTGACTTTTGTTCAATTATTATAACTAAACGAGCAATACTGACCAAACGTAAACATCCTGATTGTGATATAAGAATATGTCCCAACCGAGTTTTGGACTAATTACAGTCGTCATACCATACGCTGCGATGCACAGTGTAGGGTATGACGACTGTGAAGTCCAGAGCTCTAAATCTCCATTATAGTGTGAAGATATGCACGGTGATTCAAAAATAGGGTGAATTTAGTTTGGATTTTAAGAAATGATTAACAAATTTATGAAGGAGCAAGTTGTAATGTCCAGCCTTACCGTGGGCTCCGTGGTAAGGGGCGTTACAGAGGAAATTGTCCCCCCACGTGTTAGGATCGGCTGTCTCCGACCATTGAATGCACTTCTCTCCTTTACGCATCTGATTGTCTCTGACTCTGTTGCTGGTGGCCCAGCTGAAATGGTAGGGAGAGTTATTCTGGACACAGAGGAAGTTATCCTTCCAGGTGTGTGATGCAGGCTCGGCTCCTTCATGAATTTGTGTACATTTCTGTCCGGGAATGGCTCCTGAAACATGGTTTAAATTTAACATAAGTAAAAGGAAAAAAGGTAAACAGTTCTATTGACGAAAATACGAAAAAATATCCACCGAAATGTATTGTAACAATACATCTAAGTGACAATTTTTTGTTAGACTGAAACCAATGTTCGTCCAAAAATTAACATTATCAATTATTTGTTTAGTTATGTCATTGTCATCGTAAAATTATTAGCACTGTTTTTTCCCCACCACATGGTTACTATGGTTACTATGGTTACTATGGTTACTATGGTTACTATGGTTACTATGGTTACTATGGTTACTATGGTTACTATGGTTACTATGGTTACCTGCCATGGACCATCGGAGACCAGGGTCAGCCCTGTCGTTCCTCCAACACATGAAGTTATCGTTCCACGTGTGAGGATCCTTCATTTCCCAGATTTTGTCGCAGGTGTAACCCCTTGGTGTGCCAGCGGAGTTCCATTTGAAGTCTTGTGGCCAGCTTGGCAGAGTTGCTGCGAGATTAAAATGATTTGAAGTTGTAAGAAAACGTTTTAACTTATTAAAATGGTGGTATCACGGGTTTTTAAATTTTTTATTGACTGGCTCTAAATTAAATTTTTCGTTGAAGATTGCAACGGTATTATACATATGAATCATGAAAAACTGTAAAATGCGCATTAACTTACAATAAGAGTCGCAGTCCATGTTTGCACTAGTCAGTTCATTGTTCTTCCTGAACACGGCACCAAATGGTTGATATTTCAACCAGCACTGGTTGTCTCGTTTTCGGAAAGTAATAGATCGACAGCCCTGTGCATCAGCCTTGTGGCACTCTTGGGCGCAATGGTTGAAACCGTGAGATTTGAAACTCCTTATGTCTGCACCCCCGTAGTCTGTGTGGTCGTCCACGCACACATGGATAGCTGAAAAAGTGTAATTTAGCTGAGAATTTGGATGAAAGCAAATGTGATCGGAGATTGACCGGAGCTAATTATTCAATCATTGACTATGATTATCACCAATCTTATAACATTTATTAAATCATAATTAAATCATACTTCTAATCTCGGGATAGCCTGTAGCAAGTTTTTGATTTTCGCTGTAATACATTGCACAGCTCCTCATTTAATCCTTTTATCCTATGTCTTATAACTTTATAACAATTGGGGAATATTTAAATAAATTTCCTTGATTGTAGAATATGATTGAACAATGAACACTGACTAAAATATAAACAAAAGCTTACCGTTAGAGATGGCAAGCACGAGTGCCGCAAGCAGGATAACTGCGATTTTCATGATGAAATGAAGCGCAGAAAAATACCAAGAAAATAATATATAAATTTTGATTTCAGGTGGGAGATTTATACTGAACCAAGCCAGGAAATGGTGTGGGGACTCATGCGGCTTTTTCAGGATATGGTCAATGTGTACTCCAGCTGGCAATGTTTCAGATTATCTGCAATTGAAGAGGTGATTTGACTTAAGGAGGCGTTCCAGGAAATGGATATATCAATCGGACTGAACACATTCCAGATTCCAGAGCTGCAATAATGTTGACGTGTAAAAGTCTTCAAAAATTTCAAGTTACCTGCTTTAGAATTTTGTAAGGAACTGATCTAAGAAGCGGTATCATGTTTGGAAAGAATGACATGACATGGCTAAGCCTAAAAGTAAAGCTGATGAATAGTAGATGAAGAACACTTTTTCAGAACATGTCCCAGATGCCATCCCGACCCAGTAGGACAAACTTGAAGGAACCTACAAAGTCTGTACTCTTCAGTTCATGACATAATAAAACCCTGTTCCTATCGGAACACATGGTGGAATTTCGTTGCTCAGCTTTTCAGAATTACAGATTCCCAATAAAGAAGAAACACAATAGTGATATATACTTACAGTTGTACGAGACACCTCACACCACCGAACCCTCGCAGCATCAACTAATGCACTTTGTCTGAAGGAGAACGCCGTCACTAGTTGACCACACTCACACGGACTTTTTCACAAGCAACTACACATTTTTGTTTTTCAAGGGTCTTCTATTTGACCGCCCCCCCCCCCCCATCCCCCCCCCCCCCCCCCCCCCCCCCCCCCCCCCCATAAAATCTTGGTAATAGGGGCGGAAAGGGGCCAACATTTTTTGGCCGCCATTGCATTATCCAAATTGCTTTAATGTTAAAGTGTAGTCCAAATTTACATTCCTCATTGCTAGAATTCATTTCTTAAAGCAAATTCTCCAAAACATTTTCCAGATTTTTCCTCTTTCATCTTTGCTCCCTTAATTTTGAGAACTATTACTGTAAGAATATTTTCAAAATTTGCAGGACTTTATCCTTTGACCCCTAAATTGGCACAGCATGAAAGCCAAAATCTTGCTGAAATTTGAATTGATCTTGAAACTGTGTTTGAAAATGATCTCATTCTTTAGTAGTAGTGCCAAATTGCTCAGCTAGTTAGGCCTTATTCCTTAATGGTTCATTTTACCATAAGTTGTTCAAACAATTAGAGATCATATCTTATTAGTTGCTCTATAGGGTCAGGAACAACCATAAACATTTTTTGACTTTAATGTTTCGGATAATTTTGACTTGGGCTGCGCCCATATTTTTCACCAATTTTTAACAGGTAAAATTCTCTAAATCTTCAATTTAGTCATGAAGGAGTATAGAAGGAGTTTTAAATGTGTGCTCCTCTTATATAAACAGTAGAACTAGAAACTAGTTAACTTTAGTCGAGGTCTCAGTTTGTACAATGTCGGGAAGTTCCTGCAAGAGTTTTGCGCAAGGTCGTTTCAAGTTCAACCCGTTCTCTAGCTGGCCCTGAACGACTATTTAAAACCCTAACCCTAACTTCTTTATACGATTATGGTCATATCACGTGATCGAGACAATTTTTCGCCAGGACGCCAGGCACCAGGGGAGCATTTTAACCCTATGTCATGGGGTGTGATTCGGAATCAGCGTCCGAAAATACATCAAATTAAGTTGGTTTTAATTACATGGGGACCTCAGGCTATTATGTTCATAAACATAGAGATTCGGCGGAATGACAGGCTGAGCGCGGCCCAGTAAGGTTTTAACTGATGGCATGATGATTGATGGGGTCCTTTTAGAACATTTTTGAGGATCGATTGTGGATTGTAGAGTTATTTAGCACGCTCGTACTGCGTACGTTAAAAACTTTGTCATTTAAAAACCCCCTAGTGTCAACAATTAACGGCTAACGTATTGATATTTTTTGGTTTTAATGAATTTACTGGTAGTGGTAACGGATTTCTTCTAATTAATTGGACTTTGGATTTTGATTTTAGCACCGCTGATGATCTGACATCAATCATTATTTAATACATTTTACTATAGATATATTTTATATTTTGTAGAAAATCGCAAAGTTATCTCAAGGAATTAATATAACTGAATAATTTGTAGGGGTCGTTCACATATTACGTAATAATTGTTTGGAAAATTTTTACCCCCCCCCCCCCTCCGTAATCCGTTTTAAATTTACACATAGCAGATAGCTATTGTGTCAAAATTACACAATTTTGACACAATAGCTATCTGCGAACGACCCCATATTATTTAATATCAACTGTGCAATGTGGCGATTTTCTCACGCTGCCAGTTCACGTGATTATGTTTTCGCTCTCACGTGATCATTTTAAACAGCGGTGATCCAGGAAATTATTCCAGTGTTGTGAACTAGCTGAATTATTGGACAGAAATGAAATGTTCACCATAGGCACATTGGAGAGAAAACATCAAATTCAAAACATGTGAACATGTATAAAAAGTCTCCACATCCAATTCCATGTCTGGAAATATTTAAAATCTTACCGTATAGTAGTATACAGTGTGTTTATACATGTGGACTTGATCGACATAAACCAATATTTCGGACCAATTCAAACACTTGTTATTAATGTTATACAGTTCCTCTGTATAGTTATACTTAATCGATAAACCATTTCGGACCAATTCTAATGTCTAACACTTGTGAGCTTGTACTTGTAGTCAATACTCTGCAGTTCCAATTTTGGGGTTAAATGAGAATTAGCTTGGGACGCTCTACTTCAAATTGGAGCATTGAAATTTTGGCTGAGTTATGAGTTTTTTTGGAAAAGCTACACGTACAACTAAATATTCCAATAATATATGCAAAAGAACCGCCTCTCAATCCTGGATACAGACGTGAATGCCGAATGGTGACGAAAAAGGTTGATTCCGGCAGTGTTCTACAACTAACGACTCTTCTGCAGTGGTTTAGCGTCAACATAAAAATTTACATTATAACAATATAACATATTTATAACATAATATTTATATGATCGTTCGCAATTTTAATTGACGCAGGGTGTTGTGAAAATGTTGTACTTGTAGGTTTATATCCTACCAGTGACCAGGACGCGCGCCGAGTTGGACCCGTCGACGGTAATATTTGGAACAAATAACTTACGCGACGAGTATCAAGGTTGTTAAATCATAAATACGTATTAGGAGGGAATACGTATTGGAATACGAATACGTATTAATCCTCGAAAATTGACGTATTACGAAAATTTCGATAAGCTAACATTAATTTCGCAAAAAATGTTAGCTTATCGGATTATCCATAAAATTTGATTACAAATTTAAGTTATCATGTATAACTGCACTCCTTTAATGCATGATCGTTGTAGCGCGATGCACTACTGGGTCGCACGCGCATCAAATAATGCTTCTCGCAACCACGTATGCAGATCGGCGAGATGCGAAGGATTGACATCGTGAATCAAGCATGATCGATGATGAGGGTGGCGCGCAGCTGTAATGTTTAATTTTGACAAATCAGCGTATTACGGCGTATTCGTGGACGTATTTAACAATCCATAGAAATTACCGTATTACGGCGTATTACGACGTATTCTTTATTAGAACCGAATACGTCGTATTCTTTTACGAAAATTTGACGTATTTAACAACCTTGACGAGTATCGGCTCTTACTAATTCGCTCGCCCAAAAATTTCACGTGACTTTGGTTTTTATGGTTTTACAGCCCTACAAAACGGTTTTAAATAAACCCTAATCCCAACCCTAACCCTAACCATAACCCCGAAGCTATCCATAACCCTTACCACAATCCTAACCCTAACCCGAGCCCTAAACAATCGAATTCATGTTTTACTAGCCTATCACGTGACCAAAACGGTTTTTTGCCTATAACTCTCCAGGGAAGCATTTTTACCCTACGTCATGGGGGGTGATTCGGAATTATTAAGATCAATTTCATACCCAAAGGGCCTTTTCACAAGAATTTTCTTAAAATTTGGGCGAGCGATTTAGTAGGAGCGACGAGTATCACCCGTTAATGAAGATGACACGTCATGACAGTACAGTATTACCATTCCGAGTGGGTGCTGAGACGTATCTTTCCTGTTTCCCAAAAACCATGATCTCTGTTTTCTTTTCATCTTCAAGCCACCAAGCCCACAGTATTTAATTAAGCAATATTACCCGCTGTTTCTTGCAGTCCTTCAATGTACATGGCGAAATTAAAGATTACTCGATGAGTTCAGCGCGCCGCGCACCAATAATAATTTAATTCAGAATATCACGTAAAATAACTTTGCGTGGCATTCTGATATAAAGAGTAAAATGAAACGAGATTTAAACGTCGTAATAACAAATGCGTATTAATATTATAAGGCAACTGCTCGTGTCAAAACGACTTAAAATACCTAATCGAACGCCGTGAAACTTAAAACACGGAGCACACGGGCGCTTAAAATATGGTTAATTCTACCTCTTTTTTTTTTTCTTCGGTACAAACTCGATACATCTTCTGGAATCTAGTTTTTCCAGAAAATACAAATTGTACAAAGAAGGAAATAATCGTAGAAGAGTATGTTTCGACAATCCTGTAATTCTTTGCGATATCAACAACAAAATCCAAGCGGTAACACACTTTTTACAAAAACAATAAGCTACAAATCAGAAAACTTAGCAATTCATTATCCATTCCGGGTTCAATCTTGTGAATAACATAATCGCAAATGCTTGGATTTTGTTAAGTTTCGTCGGAAACCATTAACATGCCACTTTTCAAAACAAAGCTATTTCACAACTCTAGAATAAATCAGTGATAAATTCACGCTGTCCTGCACCATATCTTCACACTCGGTCTAAGCATTAACCCTATAAGTATCCCAGTTATCCCATTATCCCTATATCCCAATTATCCCAATGTGTCAGGTCAATACCACCCAAAGCTCAGGAGGTAGCAGAAGAAAAGAAAAGAATTTCAAATGGGAATCAATGAGAAATAAGTCCTATATGTATCTAGAACTTTCGCCCCAAATTATGACATTCAAAATAATTTTCGATGAATTGTCAACATGAGGGATGACACATCTACCCGACGAGCGTGAACTTTCACTAATTCATATTGCAAATAATCCTTTTCTCGTAGAAAAAGCAAAGTTTACCCATTTTATACAACAAGATACCTATAAGTTAACCCCCAAAAGTAAACATACATTTCCGGTAGGCATAATATAATCCAACGATTCCAAGAACAAATTAGTTACTTTAAACAGTAATAATACTGAAACACTCAAGCGAGTCCACAGATTTGCAAGGAGTGCACGTTTTCGCAAGTGCATGTTTTCGCGAGTGCATAGTTTCACGATTGCGTATATTTGCGAGTGCAGGTGGTCGCAGGAGTGGGGAGACTATTCCCACTCGGTGGTACCAGGGGGTTTATCTGTCAGATCGTACATTACTCGAGAGATACCCAACACTCCACTGAAACAGAAAGTTTTAGTTTAGTTAGATAAATAGGGTAGGAAGAGAGGAAAGGAGGGGGAAAGGAGGAGGGAGATGAGGTGAGGGCGGGGAGGGTAAAAGGAGAAGGAGGAAGAGAGACTCAGCACTCTACTTATACATATAATCGTGTATTCGTTTTAAGTTGAATCAGTGAGAGTTATGAATAACAATTCGGGGGAGGGGGAGGAGGGTGCCATCTTTGCCACTTGAATCAATGTACTAACCTGACTGCAGCTACAATGTCGTTCACCACAGGTTCAGGTATGTGTTTGCCAGGTATAGCTGCTGAGCCTGAAATGTTGGACCATGTGTATTGTGGTTCAAAAGTTAAAGATACAAATATGATTAAGATTTAGATTATATTGTAAAGTTTTGAGATGATTCGAACATCATTTGCAATTTTGTTAAAATTTCAGAGATAATGGTAAATGGACAACAGATTGAAACTCAGAAGTAAGCTCAATAAAGCTCAATAAAGCTCAATGAAGCAAAACAATATAAATAATACACTCGAATCTCGAATAGGAATAATTTGAAAAGTTTGCGACGCGCACATAAAAACTCGTAAATCAAAAACTGGTCCGTGCTTTATTTTAACATGTATAATATACTATGTATATTTAAGTTAAAAGACTAAGATTGTTTTTAAGATTTACAAATCAGTCCATTTTGGATAATTCACACCCAATCAAAACGACAGCTATCCATCATTTTTCAAGAGAGACGAGTAAAGAAAAGCGGAGCACTGGAAACCCGCGAACTCCGTCTCACAAGTTTCCGAGGAATAATAGCACCCAATCTGCGTGACATCCTCATCTTCATACGTCACATGATCAACCTCCGTCCAGCGCCACGCGTTAAATATCTTGCAAACTTTACCGTCAGAACAGGGGGTGTTGTAAGGGGAGCCGAGAGTACGGACACATGACCGGATTATGGTGGGAGGAAAGGGGAGGGTAATCCGGGGATAAGAGCTGGTGTATTTGATGATGAGAGCGGAGTAGTCACGGCATACCGGACATACCGTTGAGGTGGCGACAATAACTGGGGAGTTGGTGACAGGAACTGGTTCAATGGCAGTAGCAACCGAGAGGAAGAGGGATAGCAGACAGAACATTACTTGTGGCACAAGGTTAAGAAATGGACACATTAGGTGGCGGTGGGAATTTCAGAATGGTTAGGTGGAGGAATCGTTAGAGCATGCGCTCAGTTGAATATGAACGCGGCTTATCTTTTGAGGTGATTATATGTACGGTCTGGTGTTTTAAAATTCGGAACTCGTTAGGTTAATCGTAAAACCCGTATGAATTTCAATAAAATAAAAATAAAACCCCGGAAACAAATTTGTTAAGTTCAAAGAAAACTTTTGAGGACAAATTTACATCATGTGCAGGGTGTTCCATAAAAAATGTGACTTTTTCCACTTTAATTTTGTTTCACGTTTATTTTAACAGAATTTTGTCGGTAAATAATCGAATTTTTAAATATGATTAATAATATGATTTAACATATATTGTTAAGTATCTGCACAAAAAAGTCAGTCACGCTTCTCAGAAATTACATCTGCTATTGACATTATTTATGGCAAAGGTCCAAGATTTTCAAAATCTATATAACAAGAAATGCGGTCGCTTTTCTTTTGTGGATGGCCGCTCAATTTCCCAATCCGTGACGGCGTATTTTGTCTTATTTCATACAATCTGTTTTTAAGCATGCAGATATGGCGGAGTGATTATAGGCCGAGCACCGCCCAGTTAATTCCATATTGAATTTGAAAATCTTGTATATTTCTATGTAACCACATTATGTTTATTGTTTATGCAACCTGATATGACAACGGATCTGTGCAAAATAGTAATACTAACTCGAAAATCGAAATAATACTCTATCAATTATGAGTCGGCACTTTGAGTCATGGATCGGGAAAAAAATTCTGTCTAGACAATCTCTTTTAAATATTCCTTAAAGCATATTATCCTGGAAATTTCAGGGTGATTGATTAAAAACTGTTGGAGAAGAGAGATTTTCGATTAACTACGCGTTATAGATAAGACTCGATATTCAGAACGCGCGATGTAAAATCGCTAGCACAATACAATTACTAGTTACCCATCAGCGCTGACCTTTTGGTTCAGGAACAAAATTTTTCGATGGGACTAAGAGTAACTGATAGAACTTACTCATCTCTATCAGAAAAAACTAAAAAGTCGGTTCCGAATATTGAGACCCTTTGTTAAGTTCGTGAGGAAGCATCATAACAGAACAGCAATTTTCGAGAAATCAAGAAGTGATAAGGACTGGAAACTTGGTGTGCACAAATTCCATACATATTGACACATTCCCCTACTGGGGGGGTACCAATGGCATAGAATGGAGAAGAATGGCATAAAAATCATCAAATGGCATAGAAATTTCATGGCATAAATGGAAATTTTGTTTGGCCAATTCTCCATTTATGCCAATTTATGCCATGAATTTAGGTCTTCATATTTGACCTTTAGGATGACTTTAAATTCGCAAATATTATTAGTACTTGAATAAGAGACATGTTTCATGCTTTATAACGCTTGGAATGATCGTTAAAGTCAAAGATTCATATGACAAATAACTAAATAAAGAAAATAGAAATGTATTATATCAAATATATACCAAACATTTCACTATTCAAGAATAGCAAATTGTGAGTTGTTCAAAATGTACAGAATACAAACATTGACAACACAACGATTTTGAATGTCATCAAGGAACAATGCATCTGATGTATTTGTCTTCGACGAGTAGCCATACATTAGGAGATCCATTGATTAGGCTATGTTCCTGGCAGTAGTACTTCATCGGGCATGACTTATAAGAAATAAATCTAACCACTCCTGTTGCAAAGTTCTGCTGAGATTTGAAGACTTTAAGAGTTTCTGTACTGCAAGCTTTCAAAACTGTTGAACATCCGCATTCAGGTTGATTGTATATGCGAACATCAGAAGACACTCCAAACGCGTCCCCCTTAAATCTTGAAAGACGAGATTTTGTTGATAAAGTGCTTCTTCCTCCATTGAGCGTGAGTGTCTCAAAAGACCGGAAGGATAGTGTTCCATATTTATCTGTTGATATCGTTTCTCCATCATCACAATCATCAACTCCAGGTTCTACCTCATAAGCTAAGTCGTCCTCGTCCTCGAGGCATCCAGCTTCATCATCTACAGCTTCCCAAGAAAGTTCTTGGCCATGGACGATTGGCTTCCCACTCCGTTCTTCAGGATCTGCGACTGCGGCGAACACAGGGAAATTGTTTCTTTTCCCTTCTCGAATGCAGTCCCTCGATGCCCTGTCCAGCGTTTTTGCCAACTTGCCTAGGCTTATCATACCACCAGTCCATTTTACTCGTTCTGCTTTCTGGCCTGTAGATTTAACCTTTTTGAGGTGAACTGTAGGATGCAAAACTGTACTTCCACGTGCATGTGCAATTGCAGATGTGTCTTCATGTAATGATAAAGCACTGTACACATTCTTTCTCTCCATTCCATGGGCCATAGTTATCGCATCCATATATCTTGAGCGACCAGATGAAAAAGAAACCCGAATAAATGCAAACAGCTGCTCATTCTGATCACTTCCAAGGTAATAAGTGACGATTTCAGCATTAGGGAATTGCTTCTTCAGCAGAGTTAAATACAAAACAAGACCGTCACAAGTACATATAATATCAAGGTACGTCTGATTTCTACTTCTCTTTCAAAGTAACGAAAAATGTTTTTTCTCAAACAGTTCCATCTTTATTATACTTTATAGTTTAGAGTCTAATTTGGCATGATATCAGATCATGTGATATTACATGGCCCCATGGAGAGCATTGCCAGAGCAATTGGCCAGAGAGCTCCATAGAAGTAAGGGGCCTACTCTAGCCAACAGCTCTAATACATTTCCTTCCTCAACTTCATTTTCTTCATCTAACTGCTGCTGCTGCTCAGCAACTACTTGACAGCTGGCACAGTGACAATTGTCTGCGTAGTGTATCTGTTAGCCTCAATTTTGCCTCAAGGAGGGAAGGTAGCCTCAATCCAACCTCACATAAGTTTCGATAAAGTCTCAATAACCTTCGAGCTACAATTACAAGTTTTATAGTGGGTCTATAACATGTTTCCGTACATTAAAGTTAAAACTTAAAATGCGGCTGAATCATTTATTAGCCTCATTTTGGCCTCCTACAAGAAGACTCTGCGATTTCTGAAATGTTGAGCTTGAAGAGGATGAATAAATTTTTATTGTTGACACATTAGATAGTCACAATACCGAACATGCTCGAAAATATATACAAAAGTATACTTGTTAGCCTCATTTCACCCTCTCACAAGGTGGTTAGCCTCATTTTCACCTCGAAAATTTGAAGCTTAAATACCGATTAAATATAATCCCAAGGAATTTCATGTGCAACATGGATATCAAGTAACGTGTGAGCTGTTAACTTGTTTCCGTACATTAAAGTTAAAATGCGGTTGAATTATTTATTAGCCTCATTTTGGCCTCCTACAAGTAGACTCGGCGATTTCTGAAATGTTGAGTTTGAAGAGGATGAATCAATCTTTATTGTTGACATATTAGATAGTCACAATACCGAACCAACTCGAAAATATACACAAAAGTATACTAGTTAGCCTCATTTCACCCTCTCAAAAGGTGGTTAGCCTCATTTTCACCTCGAATATTTAAAGCTTAGATCTCGATCAAGTATAATCACTATGGATTATACTTGCAACTTGGATATCATGGACGTAACATGAGAAAGTTCTTTTTTGAAAGTGGTGAGGCTAATTTGTTAGCCTCAATTAGTCAATTGTCCCTCGCAGTTAAATCACTCCTACTGAGTCTAGTGAGTGAGCTAGGAGGTCGCCGAACATCTCATTTTAAAGCCGTATCGATTTTCTATGCGCATACCAAAAATCAAATGCGTAACTAAAACAGAAATGAAATTACAGAAGATTTAAATTTTTTGTCAAAAAACGAACTTTTAGGGGTGTTTCTAATGACCAGGGTCAGTACAATAAATAGAGATAAAGGTGGACAGTACTAGTGGGGTGCAGACTATTCGTTATTAAATTCTCAGTTCAAAGTTTTAAAATTTCATATTTCGAATGGCATAGAATGGAGAAGAATGGCATAAAAATCATCAAATGGCATAGAAATTTCATGGCATAAATGGAAATTTTGTTTGGCCAATTCTCCATTATGCCATTTATGCCATTGGTACCCCCCCCCCCCCTACTTAATGAAAATTACTTTACTAAAAGTTTACTAATTAACGCTAATTGTACATTAATTAATCTAATTGTAGTATACCTGTCATGAAGTCCGAGGTAACGAAGGGCCGAAGAACTATCGAGTGCTTTGTCGAGGGGTCATGACGACTTGCTCTGACGGTAAACAGTATATAATTATCTGTAATTAGTTAATTACTTGAGCTGATTAGTAATAAGGTAGTTATTTTAGTTTAAAATTAATTAGTTTATTAAGTTAGTTTATTAATTATTAGATTAATTAAGTGAATTAATCAATTAGTTATGCGGTTTGCTCTTAAATTGTCGCAACTGAGATTAGAAGAAGACGAACAATAGGTAAGCGAGATGTTCTGAACCTAAAAATAAATTATGTTAATAATGTTATCGTTGAATGGTTATTGGTTATAGTCACGTGGTTATAGTCAGAGAGATATTTACCGGTCAAAGTGGAGAGGAAGGAGCACTACTGGCATCTGACTGACCAGTTTCAGAGCGTCGTGCTGTCTCAACATGTCCATAGCGGCACTGTCTGCTTCCTGAGTGATCAGTGATCACGTGACATTAGTTCCACTTCAATTTCATCATTAACATAATTTGTGACGTCACAATACATTTTTAATATTATATGACGTCACGAGGGACTATGATGACGTCACTTACCCTGAGTCTAGAGATAGCACCGGGGTTAAGGAGTGTTGGTGTTATGTCACGTACTGGTCCCTCAATCTTGTCACCGAACACGAAACAGCATCTGGACAGTGTGGAGGTTAGATGATCGGCCAACAATTATAACATTACCCCCCCCCCCCCTCCCCCTGATTTTTCCGATTTTTCCGACCTCACAAAATGTACAAAATTATAATAATAATATAATGATTGAATAATATAATCTTTAGATATATAAATAATAAATATTATTTAGACTATAAAATAACCTGTTAACATTAGGACAGAGCATTGTGACTAGCTTCGTGAGATGACTGAGGACATCCCACTTAACTTGAGCTCCTGTTTCACAACTGAAGGCTGCAGCGTAACTGTACGTCCTCCCGTCACCCTGGACAGTGGAGAAGGTTAATTGATTAATTAATTAGTGAATTAGTTAATTAATTAACTGATTAACTGTATGTTCTCCCCAGCTGATAAGTTAGGATTTACCTGTACCCCCACAGTTCTGACGGGCAGTAACACTGGGTATATTCTAGGATTTACCTGGACCCCCACAGTTCTGACGGGCAGTAACACTGGGTATATTCTAGGATTTACCTGGACCCCCACAGTTCTGACGGGCAGTAACACTGGGTATATTCTAGGATTTACCTGGACCCCCACAGTTCTGACGGGCAGTAACACTGGGTATATTCTAGGATTTACCTGGACCCCCACAGTTCTGACGGGCAGTAACACTGGGTATATTCTAGGATTTACCTGTACCCCCACAGTTCTGACGGGCAGTAACACTGGGTATATTCTAGGATTTACCTGTACCCCCACAGTTCTGACGGGCAGTAACACTGGGTATATTCTAGGATTTACCTGGACCCCCACAGTTCTGACGGGCAGTAACACTGGGTATATTCTAGGATTTACCTGGACCCCCACAGTTCTGACGGGCAGTAACACTGGGTATATTCTAGGATTTACCTGGACCCCCACAGTTCTGACGGGCAGTAACACTGGGTATATTCTAGGATTTACCTGTACCCCCACAGTTCTGACGGGCAGTAACACTGGGTATATTCTAGGATTTACCTGGACCCCCACAGTTCTGACGGGCAGTAACACTGGGTATATTCTAGGATTTACCTGGACCCCCACAGTTCTGACGGGCAGTAACACTGGGTATATTCTAGGATTTACCTGGACCCCCACAGTTCTGACGGGCAGTAACACTGGGTATATTCTAGGATTTACCTGGACCCCCACAGTTCTGACGGGCAGTAACACTGGGTATATTCTAGGATTTACCTGGACCCCCACAGTTCTGACGGGCAGTAACACTGGGTATATTCTAGGATTTACCTGTACCCCCACAGTTCTGACGGGCAGTAACACTGGGTATATTCTAGGATTTACCTGTACCCCCACAGTTCTGACGGGCAGTAACACTGGGTATATTCTAGGATTTACCTGGACCCCCACAGTTCTGACGGGCAGTAACACTGGGTATATTCTAGGATTTACCTGTACCCCCACAGTTCTGACGGGCAGTAACACTGGGTATATTCTAGGATTTACCTGGACCCCCACAGTCCTGACGGGCAGTAACACTGGGTATATTCTAGAATTTACCTGTACCCCCACAGTTCTGACGGGCAGTAACACTGGGTATATTCTAGGATGGTCCTTTAAACTGATCAGGAATTCCCTCTTAGCGTCCGTCAGCTGGGCCTCTAAGCTATTTAACATCTGAGATTGCTGAGGAGAGAAAAAGGTGTTTCTGTTATTAATTGGTTAATAAAAAAGAGAGAAAATTTGTCATACCTATATTTGTAAAAGCAAAAGTATGCCTTGTTTGAATCTTCCCCCATAAAATAACTATAATATTTATTTTAAATGGAAGTTCATTAAATGACTATCCTTCATGAAAACAGAAAACAGAAAACAAAAACAAAAACAAAAAACAGAAAACAGAAACAGAAAACAGAAAACAGAAAACAGAAAACAGAAACCAACAGTGGTTCGAAGTCGATGATAGGAGCAGATAAGGTTGAGACGGTTGTTAAAGTCGTTATAATTCTCCAAATACCAAGGGTAAAGGTCCAACTGACATATTATCCTGGGACCCAAACCTGGACCTGACAAGTTTTTAATAGTTAATATAGTTAATATAGTTAATATAGTTAATATAGTTAATATAGTTAATATAGTTAATATAGTTAATATAGTTAATATAGTTAATATAGTTAATATAGTTAATATAGTTAATATAGTTAATATAGTTAATATAATAGTTAATATAGTTAATATAGTTAATATAGTTAATATAGTTAATATATAGTTAATATAGTTAATATAGTTAATATAGTTAATATAGTTAATATAGTTAAGGGGACATACACCAAAAGCTTTTTTGCCCTGGCCCTGCTGTTAACGTCATATTAAGAAAGTATACATAAAAACAATAAGATTTGATACATTAAAAATTATTTTTGAGGACCCGCACTTTCGAAAAAATTATTATTTTCTTTTTCGAAAATTTTGGAAATTTTGAGAAGTCTGTCACTGTAATACCGATATTTCGGTCATCTTAAAAGTCTTTTGGCTGTTTTTGTTACTGAAGATTACTTACAATCCGTACAAGAAATCCACGAAAGGATTATATAATTGAACAATATATGACGAAGTTACAGACCAAACAAGGTCGAAAAATAAAAATTGAAATTTTTGTAAAAATCAAAGTTGTATATTTTACCATTCACCCAGGTCATAAGATATCGCTTCAAAAATTCTTGTGAGTGTAGCTGATGATCATATACAACTTTGTGGAACAGGATTTCTCTCAATTTTGAGTTTTAAGGTATGAAATGTGGCCTCAAACGACTTAGTAAAATTCATCGTAAAAAGGGCCAAACATGGCAGATTTAAGGATTAAAATGCCTATAACTCACAAAGTATCAGTTTTTTTGAAATAATTGTTACAGAATCGTAATCAGCTTGAAAAGACGAATCTTTTAGTACCAATTATGTGATTTTAGAAGACAAATTGTCTTAAATAATTTTCTAGCTCGAACACAAGGGTCCCCCCTTGTATAAATTTTGTACAAATTGTACACATTTTTTTACAAATTTTGTGTCTTTAACTATTATAAATTTGGTACTAAAAGATTCGTCTTACCAAGCTGATTACGATCCTGTAAAAATTATTTCAAAAAAACTGATACTTTTTGAGTTATAAGCATTTTAAGACTTAAATCTGCCATGTTTGGCCCTTTTTACGATGAATTTTACTAAGTCGTTTGAGGCCACATTTCATACCTTAAAACTCAAAATTGAGAGAAATCCTGTTCCACAAAGTTGTATATGATCATCAGCTACACTCACAAGAATTTTTGAAGCGATATCTTATGACCTGGGTGAATGGTAAAATATACAACTTTGATTTTTACAAAAATTTCAATTTTGCTTCTCTCGACCTTGTTTGGCCTGTAACTTCGCCATCTATATTTTCATTATAAAATCCTTTGAAGGGCTTCTTGTACGGATTGTAAATAATGTTCAGTTAAAAAATCAGTCAATAAACGTTTAAAATGACCGAAATATCGGTATTACAGTGACAGACTTCTCAAAATTTCCAAAAATTTCGAAAAAGAAAATATTTATTTTTTCGAAAGTGCGGGTCCTCAAAAATAATTTTTAATGTATCAAATCTTATTGTTCTTATGTATACTTTCTTAATATGACGTTAACAGCAGGGCCAGGGCATAAAAGCTTTTGGTGTATGTCCCCTTAATATAGTTAATATAGTTAATATAGTTAATATAGTTAATATAGTTAATATAGTTAATATAGTTAATATAGTTAATATAGTTAATATAGTTAATATATAGTTAATATAGTTAATATAGTTAATATAGTTAATATAGTTAATATAGTTAATATAGTTAATATAGTTAATGTAGTTAATATTTGTTAAGTTGGTAAACTAAATAGGCTGTTGAAAGTATAGTTGGTTTGATAGATGTTTGGTATATATAATACTGAATGATTATTATTCGTTCCAAAAATTACCACATCGGGCCCATCAGATTGGTTATACCATGTACTTAAAAAGATCGATATAATAAGAATTTCGCCGCAGTTAAACCACGCACGATCAATTTTCCCTACGATGTACTTGTATACCTTTAATTCTTTTGAGTGAAAAGTGTTACTGGAAAAAAGTGCAACATATTTACATAATATGTTATTTATAAATGAGTGGGATTCGTGCATGGTAAAAATTGACGATTTATTTGACCAATGTAAGAATGTAGCGCCGCGCATCAACAATAAATGAATCCAGAAGATTGCGGAAAATAACTTTGCGAAGGAGGAATTTCACTGTAATTAATTAACACATGGCTAGCGTCGCGCGCAGCATAACAGACGCTTCCTATACACATAATGATAGTATAGGGGAGTGGTCTATATTGCGAAGGAGCAGACTTTTGTCATCAACGCAGGTCCATCGGGCCACCTCATATATCCAAACCCGAATACTTATTCCCAACGATCTTTTTGCCTTCGGCAAGAGTAGGGAAAAAAATTCATTACAACACTTGTCTAATACATTACCTGGGAAAGGGTGTCTGTTAACTAGTTCAGCTGGAAGGCTCAATTCTCTCCCTAGTTCCCTAACCTCATCCTTATAAAATGTTCTCAGAGGCTCTATTATTTTCCCCTGAAAGATGTACTTAATTAAACAAAACAAAGCTGTTTTCCATAAATTATCCCCAAATAGGAAGAAAAATCCTTGAAATTAATAATATAGCACATGTTACTAATATTAGTAATAATAAATATTTTTATAAATTCTTTAGGTCGCGAACAATACCTTACCGCATTCCTGAACTCCCTAGCAAGAGGACTGTCATTGTGATGAGTTTTAATGGTGTCAGCCATGGAAGAGGATAGTTTAGACCCGGACTCTATAAGATCAGGAGCTAAGGTTCCTTGAGCCAGAACAAACTTGTCTTTGTCAAGATCGTTTAGCAACTCCGACATTATCTAGGGTTTTAATTATGAATTAGTTAAATAATCAAAAGCAATCCAAGGTTATTGTTTTGTCTGATTGAACTTTGAAGTCGATGAATACTTGCCAGTTGCCAAACAGTGAGCCATTTGCTTCAAGAATAAAATTAAACATCATTGTAAAAAGAAGCGAATAAGGGAAATAACGACAATATAAATTTAATATAAGATCAAACATACAAGATAATTAATGTAACAAACTGATCATACCTGCATAAAGACATCTCCAATGATCCTCCTCTTCTGCTCAGGATCCACCACAGTGTTCAAACACTCACTCAGCTGAGCGTTCTTACATCCCTCCAGGTGCACCCACGTCTTACCGTTTAGGAACCTATACGCGCAATCAACACCTGAAATAGGAAGGATTTAGGAACCTGTACGCGCAATAACACCTGAAATAGGGGGGATTTAGGAACCTGTACGCGCAATCAACACCTAAAATAGGGGGGATTTAGGAACCTGTACGCGCAATCAACACCTAAAATAGGGAGGATTTAAGAACCTGAACGTAAAATAGTTATAAAAGAGTCCTAAGAAGCTTGTAGCCCAGGACCCTATCCTTAACTCTGATCCCAACCCTAATCATAACTCTAATCCCATACCAAAACCTTCACTCTAACTCTACTGAGGCTCTGGGAAGCAAGGTCAAAAGGAAATCGCGGCACGTGCGGAATCGCGTGAGTTAAAGGAAATAACCCTCATGAGTTATTTCCTTTAACTCAGAGGGTAAAGGAAATAATTTTTCCCATTCTCTACGACAAATTTGTTAAGTGAGATTTGGAACAATGGGAACATTGATCAATTGTTAAGACAGTTGACAATTAATCTATATTATAACTTTATAGCATACCTTTGCGAACACAATATGGACAAAAACTCATGAGGGTAAAGGAAATAATTCTACGAACATAGTTTATATACATACATTATTATTTGATTGTTTCACACTTTTCACATTTCATAATTTTATTACTAGGTGGAGATGATGTTATTGAGACTTTGGGCGGCCAAAAAACTCCTGTTCTGAAAGTTGTCCTTTGTACTTGTTTCACTGACCCACGCTTTTTAGCATTTATACATTTCGGCCCATTTTATATGTTTGTTCGAATTGCTGTACATTTGTATACTTGCTATTTTGTAAAAGTTTCAAATCAAATCAAATCAATAGTGAAAAACTTATACAAAGGATGCCATAATGCTGGCAACAGTAACCACCTCTGCATCTGAGTCGTACACACAAACCAACTAGCAAGTCATAATTACATTTACCCTACAAACCAGTCCACCCCTAATTCATAATTCTATTCGTGCAAAAACATTATCTTTCGCTGCGATTTTTTGAGATTTTGGCCTAAATAATCGCGGTTTTCTTTTGTCCTTGCTGGGAAGCAATGTTCCGAGGCAGGAAAATGGGTACCACCAGCAGACTCACGTTTTACATCAAGACCGAGGGCCTTCAGCGCTTTGACCACCAGAGTGCTTTCATTCTTACGCATCAGCCCATTGTCAATGTGTATAGCTAGGACACGTCCAGCACCTGTAATTGTTAGTGTCATTTGTATAATAATTATAGTTATTACTATTATAATAATAGTGTGGAACCCTCACGCAGTTAACGTTTGTACTATAATAGTATAACATGCTGTAATGTTAATGTGTGCAATGTATGGTAAAGTATTGAATATTGGTGCTCTGCAAATAAGCGAAACACGAAAACAGACATCTTTTAATGTTGTGCAGTTTCATTTGTTTGACTAGATATATGCTATAATCTTCTTTAAATTGAACTTAAATTATTGAACTTGAATCGGACTCAAATTGAATTTGAATTAAACTAAAATCTTTAAATTAAAAGGATCATAGGTACTTATTTCAGCGACATGGTATCAATAAACTTGACAAGATGGGACATAGTTGGAATACTACTGCTAACTACAAATATATGTCTACTCTACAGTTATCAACCTGTTTCAATCATCACACCCGAGTTAATGAAACCGAACTCTAATTTAACTACAGCCGATATTTTAGCGGTTAACAGAACCCGTGAAAAATATTTCATTGTGTTCTTAATACCGTCACACCCGCAACGTTTTAACGTGAGGGATGCTATTCGTCGAACATGGATGAACGTTAATAGATGGAATAACTTAACCTCGATCGATGAACAATACAAGAGAATCAAGGTAATGTTCTTGTTCGGCTCCTACGCTGATAGCGGTGATTTTGACCAGGAGTTTTACGACGAGCTTAAAGAACACGACGATATGTACATGATATCCAATCTTAGAGAACACAGGACCGCTCTAAAATACAAGGTACCTTAGTAGAGGAAATCAAGAGAGCAGGATACCTTAATTCCCAAAAATTTGGGCGACAAAAAATTTGAGCGGGCCTCTCGCCCAAATTTTTTGCAGACCAAATTTATAGCATAAATCTTTTCCGTCTGCTAAATTTGTTGCTAACCAAACTTTAGGCATTTGGCCCTGAAATTGTAGGTTTACAACCTACCAGGACGCGCGCCGAGTATATGGAACAGATATTTTAGTTTTACGAGTATCACCCGTTAACCCTGAAATCTATAGAAAGATGGCTTTTTTCATATCCAAGTGAAATAATATTTAAAATTTTAGTTTTCTAATCTGTCATTAATGGCTTGACCAATTAAATGTTAAAAAGGATTGAAAGCAAAATGACTGGAATAATAAGGAATAATAATGAACTAAGGGCAAGGCAAATATTTAACTGAAATTTTAGTGGAAAATCGTTCATTTTTCGGTCGCCCAAATGAGTTCAAATTTTCTGCCCAAATTTTTCGGGCTCAAATAAATTGTGCTCAATATAATGGCACACAAATTTTTGGGAACTAAGGTATTAAGAAACCCCTTCTCGCAGTTTCTTAATTTTATGCCCTCTCTTAATTACGGTCACGGGTATGGTTTGGGTTTCCTAATTTTATGCTTACTAATTTTATGCATACTAATTATTTGATTTATTAATAATTTGTACCAAGGTACTCTGGGGCACCAAGCAGGCGCTCCACCACTACGACTTTGACTACATCGTCAAAACGGACGACGACATCGTCGTCAACCTGCCCGTCCTGATCACAGACCTGATAGCTCTACCACGTGACCGCTACTACACCGGCAACTGTAACATGAAGTACGGAGACTTCAATGGTTACCCTAAATGGAAGTACTGCTCCGGAGGAGGATACGTGTTTTCACGTGATGTGGCCAGCAAGTTTCAGGAGTTACCTAGCTCTGTTCACCAGGTACCTTTCAGACCTACTGCATTTCGACTTTCCCGTACAGTATTTAAACTATAATTGTTGAAAGTTTCATGACTGAAGATCTACCAGAATGGTTTCATGCGAAGTTCAATAGAATAAGCTAATTCTTAATGGTGCTGAATATCAAACTTTTTTTACCCAGCTGTGTTCACCAGGTACCCTTCAGACCGGAGGACGCGTACACGGGGTATCTGGTAAACAGACTGAGGGTGCTGCTGGGGTACAAGGTCCAAATTGTGCCTAATCCGAAACTTAAAGTTTATGGTTATAAGTGTGGGCCTTTTGTGGGTTGGTTTTACCATTCTTATAGCACGGTTAAGAAACACGAGGTACTGTACAAGAAGATAAGGTCAGATGTGTGGGTGCCCTGCAGTGAGCCCAATGGTAAATGATGGTCACCAGCGTTTCAAGTGTAGATTCAATAATTATAAATTTATAGTTCGTCATCAGATTTTATTGCCATGTTATGGTACATGTGATTGTGAATATGATTGTGTACGATTTTTAAAACGTTCTTAGGAGGAGTATGAGGAGGAGAAGTAGGAGGAGGAGTAGGAGGAGAAGTAGGAGGAAGAGTAGGAGGAGAAGTAGGAGGAGGAGTAGGAGGAGAAGTAGTAGGAGGAGTAGGAGGAGGAGTAGGATGAGAAGTAGGAGGAGTAGGAGAAGTAGGAGGAGGAGTAGGAGGAGGAGTAGGAGGAGGAGTAGGAGGAGGAGTAGGAGAAGTAGGAGGAGGAGTAGGAGGAGAAGTAGGAGGAGGAGTAGGAGGAGAAGTAGGAGGAGTAGGAGGAGGAGTAGGAGGAGGAGAAGTAGGAGGAGGAGTAGGAGTAGGACTAGGAGGAGAAGAAGGAGGAGTAGGAGGAGGAGGAGAAGAAGGAAGAGTATGAGGAGGAGTAGGAGTAGGACTAGGACTAGGAAGAGAAAGAGGGGAAGGGGAAGGGGAAAGGGGAGCTCGAGGAGGAAGGAGGGGTAGGAGGGGAGGAGGGGAGAGGAGGAGTAGGATGAGAAGTAGGAGGAGGAGTAGGAGGAGAAGTAGGAGGAGAAGTAGGAGGAGGAGTAGGAGGAGAAGTAGGAGGAGGAGTAGGAGTAGGACTAGGAGGCGAAGGAGGGGAAGGGGAAGGGGAAAGGGGAGCTCGAGGAGGAAGGAGGGGTAGGAGGGGAGAGGAGGAGTAGGAGGAGAAGTAGGAGGAGAAGTAGGAGGAGAAGTAGGAGGAGGAGTAGGAGGAGAAGTAGGAGGAGTAGGAGTAGGACTAGGAGGCGAAGGAGGGGAAGGGGAAGGGGAAAGGGGAGCTGGAGGAGGAAGGAGGGGTAGGAGGAGGAGGAGCTGGAGGATGCTGGAGGGGAGAGGAGAGGGAAGGAAAACTAAAGTTAAGGTGGAGGGGTTACTATACGACGTACGCGTTTTTATGATTTAAAACTGTCGCACAAATACTATTTCGTCCATTCCTAGCTGCACAGCTCTCATTAAATCTGTAGATGGAGACTATTTTACGTTTTCTCTCGCGAACAATATCCTCTTCCGTCCACAAATGAGCTATTATTAAAGTAGGTCGCACATCTGGTGTCCTTGTAACCAATACGTGAGTGGATTGTGAGTTATGCAGATCAACTGATTATAAAACGTCGCATATTACCACTTGCACTCATTGCATTACTAATTCTTCTAAAACAAAGAACTCAAAAATGTAAAATACGCGACAATATCTTCCTTGAGCTGAAAAAGAAGATACAGCGTTTCGTACGTGTCCTCAGCCCGTCCTTAGACACATTTAGCACTTTTTACCGCATTTTAGCACATTTTGACATTTTAGCACGTTGCACCTGGTGAACATTTCATTCTTTTCTGTCTGACAATCACTGCTAGTTAGTACCTTGTGGTGCATAAAATATTGACCGCTGTATCTGACAATTCAGTAGTTCATAATTGGCTTATCTTTACAATTGTGGTTTTACGGCAATACTGCTGATGAACAACTTGTCCCTCTCATGACCATTTCAAGTAACTATTCGGATATCAGATTCGGGATAGAGAGCAATGCAGAAAGATATTCCTGGGCTGCCTATTTGGTTTTTTGTCAAGTCTAATTGGAGATACTCTGATCCTGTTTGCATCCTTCCAGAAGGACGCCTTGTAGAGCATATAATTTCATTTCTTAATTTTAATTCTAATATTTTATGTTTTATTCCCGGACGGCTTCAAATAAACTCATACTAATTTCACAAAGCATTGCCTACAAGTTTCAACACTTCAAGTTCACACCTATTAGTAATACCTCCCTTACGAATTCATTCTCAGAAACCTTAAGACTAAGTACCTACCTTCACCTTTCACCGTCCTAACACTATCTTAACATCAGCCAATCACAATTGAGAAACACGACTCACATGACACTACTTTCACCTCCATAGCCGTCCGTGGCTACGATTGTAAAATAAGTCTGTCTGACCCGTTTTGAGAGATACGAATGAACTTGTGTTTAGTTCCCATATTCTAAAAAACCTTTGCTGACTTTACCTTTCAAGAAGTCAAACTAATATAACGAGTATCACTTTGTATTAGACACCTAAAAAAGTACTTGAACTAGTCCTCAAGATCCCGGTATTACACCAACCTCTACAGCCTTCAAAGTCAACAAATTCATACTGACTGTTATTCAACACATTGCAGCTTCTGATCTCATTTCGACTATCTGTACACCCTTCTCTGGGGCAGTCTCCTTGCTAGCCAACTCGTGGGTCCTTGGAAAAACACTTTGCTATGCTCGGGTATATGTCGGCAACTACGCTTACCTTGTTGGCATGTCCCTCATCGCAGTTCTCACTACAAGCAAGTTCCTTCTACTCAGATATCCTCTCCGAGCAGTAAGTTGGTCAACAAAAAGAGCTCATCAAGTTTGCAGCTTCATCTGGGCTTTCAACCTTATCTTACCAATACTTTTCTCCGCTGTAGACAAGGATGATGTTGACTTCGAGTACATAATCTACAACTGTCAATACGGGTATAACTCTGATATTTGGAACAAAATATTGCCCTTAACTGGATTTTTTTCTGCTTTACTTCCAAACATAATTATCGTAGGAACAACAGTTCCTACACTGATATACCCAGCTGATGCAAGGATATCTGCTAGACGTGTCCAAGGAAGTGTTCCATGGCAAGGAGCCCTCACTGTAGTCCTCACTGCTGTCATCTACTGCATTTCAACTTTCCCGTACAGCATTTATACTATAATTGTTGAAAGTTTCATGACTGAAGATCCACCAGAATGGTTTCATGAGAAGTTAAAAAGAATAAGCTATTTCTTAATGGTGCTGAATATCATGTCAAACTTTTATATCTACACTATGACGATAAAGACTTTCCGCAGATTTCTTCTCTCGAAACTATTCTCTGTCGTTCCCAGCACTGTTAGTTCTTTTGCTTAGCTTAGGTAAAATCAATACAGTTTTTTCTATTTATTATATGCAGTATTTAGTGTATTTGTTGCTATGGATAAAATTTTGAACATTTATTATGGATGGAAAGCTGATGACAAAAACTCGCGGACTCACAAAATTTCTCATAAACAGCGATTTAGCATTATATATAAATAGAATTTAAGATATCATAAAATTCGTGAATTACTAATACTAAGAAATATGTGGGTAAATGTGGAAAATTGAAAACGATAAGTATGACCCGCTTA